ACATCAAATTTCAAGACAGTCCCTACAGCAATTGAAACATTTCAATCTTTACCAATGTGATGGTATCATGTTAAAGTTTTATTTCTGTGTAACTGACTTAACACTAATAGCTACCAGTAACCCTGACTACTAGTAAACACAGTATCTTCCTGGAGGTCTAAAGTTACAGCATGCATACCAGGAAGTGAAAACAAAAACCGAACCAACAAATACTGCTGTTTTAATAATCAAAATGAATCACCTCAGAGACTATGGGCCATGAACATCTTTATATGTTTTCTTTTCTTAACGATTGCTTCTTTCCCATCAGAAGAACCCAGAAAGGAAACAACAAGCTTGTTTCCATCTCATGTCTTTTACACTCCCCTCCACTGTAGTTCCAATCCAATAAAAATTGACAGCATTATGTCATAATTTCATCCTTGTAGAGGTTTTCCTGAGTGAGGAGCATCCCAGGCAAGAGTTTTTGTTTATGTGGAAGTAGGAGAGAGAGTTTGGTGTGACAACAAAGACAAAGAACCCCTTATATATTATACATACTGACATACATTAGCAGACAGGTGGAGGTAGAGACACAACAACAAAAAAGCTGTACTTGACAGTTGAGTCTGCAGAGCAGAAAAGGTTACTCACTAAAATTTTGTCATAGTAGTTGTAACCACAGCAGCTCTACCGGCTTGCTGAAACCTGCTGTGGCAAGACCATCCTACCCCAAACCCCAATCCCTCTGCTGCAGGAGCTTTGCTCTGCTGCAAGACACTTTGCAGGTTCTGCACCCACACAAATCGCTTGTACAAATACCTTAGGCCTGCTGTTTTATGTTTTCTTGCATCACGCAGAGCTGGTCTGTAAAGTTTGTACTAATCAAAATATCCTCTTAACAGGACTGGTTTCTAATAGAATCTAAGCAGGGCTTGCTGCAAACCGAGTTGTGCACTTTGATGAGTCTATTGCTCTTTGGAGGATACCAAATGACAAGATCCCACCTGTGCTAGGTGCTAAAAATCACATTTTGTTTTCCATTTGGATCATCCAATTTGTGCTTTAGCAAAGAAAGTTCTACAGTCCTACATAAATTTGATTTTGTCAACAAAGAAATCTATCAAAGGACTCGCCTACTATTTGAGACGTAATTAGGCAACTAACCCTTATTTTCATTATTGATTAATCTGCTAATTGTTTCTGCCATTAATCATGTAGTCTGAAAAGTCCAGCTTCACAGGGTGAAACTAGAGCTACTTTTTTTTGAGAAATGAAACAATTAACGAAGTAACTGCATATTATTCCTCTTTTAACCAACTAATCTATTAACAGACTATTTGGTGCAGCTCATAATTACACTATAATTCCCATGTAATTGCAATAATAAGCTGTTAAACAAGGTCTTCTGAGCCATTAAAGAAATTTCTCTATAGGCTGAAAACAATAAATGAATCATTGTGAGATTCACTTTCAAGTCTTCAAAAATGTTTTCAATAGGTCTGATTCACAATCTAATGACTGTGTTTAAAACTTTTGTTTGAGGGTGATAAAAGGCCAAACAAATGGAGAGAACAGCTAATGTGAATATGCTGCTATCATGTCTCACTTCAGTTACATGGAAAAAAACCAAGTAAATCTTTCACTACTCAGGTCATATCACCATGGAGATACAATAGCTGTGTTTGTTTCCTTTTTTAATGTACTGGTTCAACTGTACTTTCCAGCAGTGAATTTGTAGTGATTTTTACTTGACGTTGACTTAACTACAAAATTTAAAAGCCCGACAGCCTGAATGAGAACGCCATGCACGCAGCAGAGTACAATTCAGTCTAGTAACCTAGACTAAATATCCCAGCTCTGTTACCGCAGGTCCAGAAAGGCATCTGGATGCAGCAATGCAGTTTTTCCCTCTTACTTTCATTCACTTTGACAGCCGATGACGTTCACTTGCCTGGCTTGGAATCTACAACCGCTGCCAGCAAGCGTTGTGAATGGGGAGGCACACACACACACACACACACTAAGCTCAGGGCCTACTGCACTGATGTTGCTCTCGTCAGAGCAGCTGAGTTCAGGTTACATTTAAACAAAGGAATTCACCCCCACACCCGTCATCTACTAACACACACACACATAAATCTACAGTATACCCTGTTATAAAACCTGTGAAGTCAATCTATCTCTATATCAGCTAACATTAAAAATCCACATCCAAACACTTCTCACTGAAAGAAACCCTCAGTTTCCTCAACTGACAAAAACAGAGAGCAGAGCTTTTCAGATCAGTGCATTAAAATTTTCTGCTTCTCTCACATGGTTAACAGTACTGTAGCTGTCAGATGATACTCAGATGTCCATTCTGGATATTAGGGTGTATTATCTCATCGCACACTCACCTTTAATAAACTATCTTCCGCAGAGACAGGCCAGCAGCTCCACTGGAAGATGGAGCTGGGATAGAAGTAGCCCACTCAGTTTGTTATGTAACGATCAATTTGATTAAATAACTTATGGGCTGCATCTAATTGATGGATAGATGTGTGTGGTGTGTAGTAAGTGTATAATAGGCTACCACTTAGCTTTATGTAAGATGGTAGCCACTTCATGAGATGCTTCAAATTGGTCAGTTGCCTCTTTTTTATGGAAATCAAAAGGTGCTGTTTTCCCATTCTGTGGTTAGCGTGAAACAACACACTGATTATAAATCATCAAAAGTTTTAACTAAATTCCAGCTGGTTTTAATCTCCCATGTCTATGGTATCATAATCAGTGACTGGTGTTCATGGGATCTTGGCAGTAAAACCTAGAACAGTACAGATCAGTTATCGCTGACACAGAAAAGCCAGAGAGCAACGCACAGTGTCGGCACACTGCGTGTTGCTGCTCCTGGCCTGGGGATATCAATAGCTTTTTCTTTTTTACACTTAGCTGCCGTTATCTTTGTTTTACTGATCTGGGAGGTGTGAGGACACTGGCATAAACAAGGCACAGTTTGCAGTGTAAACTAGGCCTTCCTGTTGTGTGTCCCTGGGAGTGTTTGGACAGAGGATGCATGCCTCTTGGTTGAGCTCTACCGCAAGATGCACTTGCATAAACAAACAGAAATAAACACTCTATTCGATTCATACACATTCTGTCACCGTTGCTGGTATGCAACCTAAAGTGAGACTCTACTGTACTCTGCCATACATGTCAGTGAGATGCAGAGGAGCTGCCACCAGCACACAAGGATCTGCACAGCCTTTGCCACCGAGCCCTGTGAGATAAAACCTCTAATGAACCAGACAGTTAAAGGACACAACCAATAACACACATACACACACAACCTGTGAAATGGTTCAGTGTGTTCACAGCAACAAGTCTTAACTTTTGAATTTGTCTCACATGGCTGCATTTGTAGGACCATTGATGAAGCTGCTGAGAAAGTTGTGTTTCTGCTATTAACTCAAAGAGCCATCTCATCCCTTAATGTGAAAGTGTAAAAGGCCTTTTTCTCTCCCGCGCACAGTCGGGGCAAGGATTCAGTGAGCACCGGTGGGAGCAGCTGAGACAAGCAAGCTCTGTCATGGATCATTAACTGCTCTTATTAATTCATGAAGCTTAATTCAGCTGGCCTAGTCGTGCTCTGCTCCTATGAAACAAACAGTCTGACCTGCAGGCAAATGCATCCTTCCTAAGGGTTTTGACATCATGTCAACTTCCTGTTCCACTTTATTATTCCAGTAATTCCCATGAAACTCCCCCAGCCCTCTCTGTAGACTAGCCCCTTTTTCCTCCTTCCAACTTATGTCATCACTGTGAGATAAATGGTAGGAGCTGCCAAGGGGTGCAGTTTTCGCCTGCGTCACGCTGCAACTCCACAGAAACTGTAGCCACATGAAACCACGTGCTACCTGCACTTGTGAGTGTGTGCATGTTTGACAGACCACATAACTGAGTCACTTTCAATTTAGAGTAGCTCCTGAAAGATTATGACATTTACTCAGAAAGTATAGAACTACACAGAAGAGAGTTGCACAAAAAGAAGTATAATGCTGGAGTGTTTTAACCTGCTGGTTCCAGGAAACAGGTTCAGGGACCCGCAGAAGGCTTTAAAGAAGGGACAGAAATGACTATTTTTGTTATAATTCAAAAGCCCATGGATAAGGTTTACAGTTATATAAGAAATAATATGCCCTTATAGCATCCTAAGAACAAATATGATGATTTGGGGGCCCTGTGCATTAAATATGAGACAACTCTGTTTTAAAAGACAACTAAAATTTCATTTAATTGCCAAATATATACAGAATTATACTGTAAGTGCCTGTATAACCTGCACTGACTGATTCCCATTCATTAGGGGAAAAAATCATGGACTCAAACATGATGTTTACCTGCCCCCAGCACCACCCAGTCTTCCTCCAAAAGAGCTATTGCATTTCAGACTGTATACTCAAACCGCATGTTCTGGCCTTCTCAGACATTTGACCGTTTATACGATGACACCCAGAGTCACCCTCTCTGTGCAGGCCCCGTGGATTTCAACACAAGCTGTCGCGTCACCAGATCGCCGTTCAAATGCCAGCCTGCCTACACTGACTTGTTCTCACTACTGAACAGGGTTATTCCCAGCGCCAGTGTGTGCCTCAACATGTATAATGTTGCGAAAGAGAGCATTCATTTGCACTGACAGCGAAAGCGGATGTGGGAGGCACATCGACCCCCCAGCCCCATATGTGGGAAAACGCATATGAGCTGTCAAAATCTGCGAGGATCAAATAATTCATGTGATTGGCCTTGGTTAAAATTAATCACAAGATGAACGGTTTGTAATGTGTTGACATCGGTAATATTGCACTGACCATTCTTCTCTGCTGCATCTGTAGGATTTACCTGCTGTACGGAGCTGTACAGACAGACTACCTAGTGCCGTCATCATTACGATTATTTTTCTCAGTTTTCTGCACATTGAGCGCAAAATCTCTCACATATGCACAGTTAATGTTTGCATGTATGTCGTTTATAAGTCAACTTACCCTCTCTCGCTTTTAGCAGTACAGTGTTGGCTACTATGTTCTCCAGCTCCATCAAAAAATATCCTAAATGCAGAGGTTTTCGGTACACTGGCGTCTGCAGCGAAAACAAGTGTCCTTTAGTTTCTGTGTTGTGTATATTTTCTTTACTCTTCGTCGGTATCCGAACAAATTTCACTCATACCAAAGTCATCAAGGATAAAACAGGATGTCATAGATTTGCTTGCAATGTAAGCTGGGCATGGTTCTTGTTGTGGGCTGGAAGTGCGCCGCTGCATTTCTGCTCCAATCCCCCCAAAACCGTTCCATGCGTGTTTTGGGTGCGGAATCTCTCCGATGCAGAATACCATTAAGTTGGAGGGAGCGATTCACGCAAACCGGGTTGGTACTACCAGCTTCTCCTTACAACAGAAAGGGCTGACTGAGTGCACCAGAGAGGACATCAGCGCGCCCCCCTCCCCTGTTGGTGCGTAATCAAAAAGGGCTTGGCTTCTCTGTTATAGCTGCGTCAAGCCAGACACAGAAACAACTCCACCAGAAGTTACGGCAATTTGTCAGCAATGTAAAACAAAAATAAAACTTGAAGGAGGGACACATTTGAAAATATAGATATAAACAAAAACATAGATATTCAAATGACGTTTTTCTTCTCACTGAGGTTGTTGTAAAGACACAGTACGCGTGTAATTTCTTCATTTTTTTGGGTTGAACCTTCATTTTGTCTCTATTGCACTGACACAAAGGAAGGTAAAATTGGCAACTACCATTTATAGACATTGCATTAGCCAGCAATCCTAAGATTTTATATCTTTTGCCACAGATGACATTTTGACATGTCACAGTAAGGTTGCATGGCTGAGTGCAATTTAGAAGCTGAATCTCTGAGATCCAAGATGTGCCTCCATGAAGCATTCAACATTGATATTTGTGTCATCCTCACATCATTTTTTATTTGTAAGTTGAAGGTTCATGTGATCACCTGATCACATACACCACCATTTCTCAGTAGCATTATATCAGTAGTCCTTCAGGTCCCTGGGCTCTACTGTTTCCCAGGACCTGAAGTGAATGTCCAACATCAGCACCATCACCAAGAAGGCACAGCAGAGGACGTACTTCCTGCACCATCTCAGGAAGTTCAACCTGGCCCAGGGGGCTGCTGATACAGTTCTACAGAGGAATCATCGAGTCTGTTCTCTGCACCTCAATCACCGTCTGGTTCGGCTCAACAACCAAACAGGACAGGAAAAGATTCCAGCAAACAGTCAGGTCTGCAGAAAAGATCATTGGTGCCAGTCTGAGCTCCATGAACACTCCTGTACATCTCATGGATGAAAAAGAGGGCAGATTTCTGCAAACAGATTTCTCCCTCACAGTTTGAAGTCCTCCCCTCTGAATGGTGCTACAGGACAATGTACATCCAGACACAAGGACAGTTTTTCTTTCTTCTACTTCATTATAGCTTATAGAACAAGCCCTGTGTTTAATAAGGTTCCCTAAAAATTAAATACCTTTGACATCTTTTGTCTAAATAAGGGCACAGTCTAAGAACACACCTAGAAAATCAAAAGCCCCCTATCCTACAATCCTTGGCCTGCAGGGGGACAGCCCAACTCTGCGTTTCCTTAAAGTTTTATTTTGAAGTTTAACCGGAAACACTACTTCTATAATTATAATCACTTGACACTTCTCTGGGGACTTTTTTCAACCACATGCGGGCAGTTGTGCAGTATTCATAAAAAAAAAGAAACATACCATGAATATCGGCGGGAGCCTAATTTATCACGATAACTCGTTTTTAGAGTTCACACAACCCGGCCCGGCCTAAAATCCACCGGCCCGTCTAAGGTTGCAGACCTAGTGAAGTTGTCTCAGGATGTCTGCACAGTGGCTGTTCTGTATTAACTCACACCATCAGCAAAAACTATTAACAAGCTTGCTATTGACCGATGAAAGCTGATAAGATCGATTTTCTCCGGGCCTGCTTTTATCTCTGTAAACAGGACATGAGACCGCCTCATGCTTCTTCCTAAACTGAATTAGCCAAATGAATGATGCCCTTCTTCGTACATGGTATAAATGTACGAGTCTGACGTTTGATGTCACATTGCAGCGTGCGACGTGATCTGCATGTTGGATGTGGTTTAATAATACAGTCATGATCGATGGCGCCACCACACAGGACCAGAAGGCCAAACATTTCAGTCTTTGCAGTGCATCAAATACAGCAATAAACAGAATGGGCAGCATAGTCAGAGAGTGGGATGACAATTTTTCCAAGACCTTCCATAATGATACACTAAACTCTCTTAATGGAGCAGAGCAAGTGCTTTTCATCAATGCCAGGCCCCTATACCTCTAAATGAAACCCCCTCACCATATCATAGTGACAGAAAACAAAGTGCTGCTGTAAAATTACTAAGTCACCAACCTAATGATTTAAGACAAAAACATGATATTTGACTCACTATTATGCTGCCATGACCGGTAGAAATGACAGCAGCCATCAGTTTGTCAAAAAAAAAAAATTCAAATTATACAGTACACTACAGTAAATAGGCCCAGCATGTTGCTGACTGCTGCCTATTAAAAAAGAGAGAGAGAAAGAAAAACACACACTGTCACGCTCAATCTCAACATGAAACTTAGTCTGACACAAACTGAAAATGCTCATTGGTTTAAAAAAAAAAAAAGTGGCATTAGTATTCATCTAAATTATCAGCCTTAGGGATGGAAAGGCCTCGGTCCTTTAGGACCTGCATTTTGACTTTCTCCGTTTCCTGTTCCGCTTGCTGCTGCAACCGTTGCTCCTCCAGAATCTCTTCAATGGAGACCTGCTGCAGAATTGTATCACAGGGCTTATCCACATCCTGCAGACACAGATCATATTGCACCTGTTAAAGACTTGCAGCAAACAGCAAAGATGTTAACATCTTCTGATTCACTTGGCCTGACATAACTTCTACACTTCTGGTGCTGTGATTATAATGAATGCCTTATACTCGGCATACTGCAAACACTACAATTGTGGGCTGTCAAAATGCAGATTTGTAATGAATATCCATAAAATGACATCCAGAGTCTTGGGTTCACGATTCATGTTTGCACTGGCCAAGGTACCATACTCTCATTATAATGTGCCTGTGTCTTTCTTTGCACAAATTCACATGCATTTGAGGTACATTATGATAATGTTAAAAGAGCCCGAGTGTGTGACTAGCTGAGAGTAGTTAACATTTTTACTACTCATACAGCTTTCTTCAGTGACTCCAAACAACAGCCAGCTGTAGAAGGTTACATATGTACCATGTACTGATAGCCTATGGCTTATCGCCCTTGTTTAGGGGGGCATTATAGTAAAGAGCATTTTGCCATAAAAAAGTAGATTAAAGCAATAGATCTGTTGTATTCTCATTTATTTTGTAACCGCGGTAATTCAGGGATTTGAAAAGTCAGCACAGATAAATAAGATGGGTTCACTGTCAACCTGTTTCCCAATACAATAAGCAATAAAGTTAAACTAACAATCTCATCCTATCTAAAATGTCTATATACTGCTTACGTGGACTTCCACTGCAAGACTCATTACTATTTATTTACAGCAGTATGTGGACAACATAATTTTGACTGAAGCAATATTAGGCTATTAGTAGGCTAATTACTCGCCTGCTGTTGAATCAGTTTGTCGTTCCAACACACAAAAATAAAACAAGGAGTACATTCCCACTTACTATCTCTCCCAGGAGGACTACATTCTCTCCTCTCACAATGAATATTCCTCTGGGGATGTCACCAAATTTTTTCCCCACGTGGATGCGCTCAACTGTTTGATGAAAAACTAAATTGGCTGGGACACAAGACAGAAAACCAACATTTTACAAAAGTTTATAGATAGGGGGACTGACATTTACATTTTTAAATGAACTGCGTTCTGTCATCTGTAAGAAAAAAAACAAGTAGACTATAATATATTGAAATGAGTTGTACCAAACTGATCAATGCTTCTGAGGTAACCGATCAGCGTCCTGCCATCACGGAGCAGCACCAGGTGTTTCTCTGCAGGACACAAACAGCAAAGCATGATAAATGATACTATTAAAGGATGCGTTTTGCTTCAGACACGATGCCACATCTCGAAACGATCTTGCTCTTTTTCTACCCCTCATCCCAACTTACTGTCGATATCGTCGATGAGGCTTGCCGTCCCTGGTACGTAGTTCATTTTGGGCTACTGATGACTTGCGTTGTATAGGCTATCTTTATGGAACGTCAAGCCATATGTGATTCAAAATATGTTTCTCTCAAGTAGAGCACAGGAAGCGACTTTATACATGCCCTGGATACACTTCCTGTGGACGTTTAACCCTTTGGATTGCAATGAAATCTCTGTTCATCAACTTTTTTTTAGGACCCGTGGTATAAGAATACACCTTTAATAAATGTATTGCCAAAAACGGTTGGTTTTCTAATTAAAATTATATTATGGATAAAAAAAGATATTTTATGACTTTTTTTTCTCCTATTTGGCTAATCGCCTCTACTGACGCACATGCGACACCAAAGATCGTATATATAAGACAGTGAGAATTGGAGCAACTCAACAATTTGCTTGCGTAGCTATACATTATTCAAGTTAAACTCTATGCTCAATCCAGACACACCCAAACAATGACTTCACATCAGTTCAACTTTCTGTCAATGCAATGTGAAGAAAATGACAGGAGTAAATACTCACTCCGTGAAGACGTTCGCGGTGCTAGAAAAAATCCGCAGAGTGAGCGCTCTTTAGTTTTACATGTGCCCCCTAATTAAAGACACAGGTCAGGAGTTCTTTGTCATTCAGTCATTTCCTGTTACTTGTCAAGCTATTCATACAAGAACCTTGCTGTTGTTAATAGCCTCGGTCAACTTACCACCGAGTTAAATACGTTTAGGTTTGTTAAAGATTTGATTTCTACAATGGCAAATGACAGGACGTCTGCCGCGCCGCATCATTATTAAATGCAGTCAGATCTAAAATCTGGCTGGCCCTTGACTTGTAAGCTAACTCGGGAAATAACAGCGGGAGTGCGAATAACACTATGGTAAGTAAGTGGATATAGCTTAGATAAATTCCCAGGGTTTTTTTTCCCCACTGGCTTTGATTGTGTTTGTATTTCAAAAACAAACCATAGTTCAGAAATAACACAGTACCCAGCTAGCTTGCGTAGAGCCCTCTCTGTGTTAGCCGGACAGCTACGGAGCTAACGTTAGCTGGTGTTATGTAATAGTTACCACCGCCCTGCTAATTCAGTTCCTCCAAAAAAAATTCAGCAAGTAATAAATGAGCCAGTGCCACTGTTTACTCAGTCATTGTATTTTGTGAAATTAGTGGTGATGTTGAAGGCACGTGGTTTACAGCTGGCCATGTGTTGGCTTGTTCCAGCACAGCTCAGATTATAAATAGCACCCCTCCTGGTGCTTGAGGACAGAGATATTCTGTTCTATTAACTCTCCTGTGTTATGTACATTGTTCACAGGACGCACCTCAGTATCCAGACTATCCTGCTCACTACTGGTATCCTCAGTCTCATTCCACAGGACACTATGCAAGTACCTACCCATCGGGATCCGATGTTCAGCCACAGTACAATCCACAGGTACATCTCATATGCAGCATAACCTGGTCCTCAGTAGTGTAGTAGTGCGTTGTAGACACTCACGTTCAGCAGCCATCCTTAACCACACAACTAGTAATTTGAAGGTAATGTAACTATATACATTTCCTAAAGTATAAATTAAAGCTTTATACCTCTGATTACAAATAATTCAGAAGGAAATAATCTAGTTTTTACTCCGCAATATTAAAATGACAGCATTAGTTACTGTTTTCTTCACCAATGTACATACTAATGAAATGCTGAGCTGATTAAATATGTAGTACTATAGAATTCACTGTCCAACATTGCATAAGTTAAAACTAGCCCTGACTCCATCAACTACAACTGTAAAAAGCTGCTTACAAATTAATGCATCTGTATTAATATTGTAATATAATATTACAGTATATTGCCTGGTATAATAATGTAATAGTAGGTCTGTAACAGTCACAGGGCTACTTATCCAAAGAAGTATCCAAATTTTTCTTTTGATACTTTAACTGCATTGTGCTAACATTTTCCATGTGCAACATTTACTTGTAATGCAGTACAACTTCATCAAAAATAATAAAGAAATAAATATTAAATACTTCCTTCAGCCCTGGTGAACACGTCTGTGGTACTGTGTTACAACATTGTTGTAAATTGTTATGTTCACCTCATAATGTCTTCCTGGAGGTGCTTCTCTTTCCATCACCTAATTGTCATCAATATACCTGCTGTAAGATGTTTTTTTTTTTTTTTTAATTTGTTTGCTTCATATTTTTAACTGTGTGGGCTGTGGAGCTAGTTGGTTATGAAATAAAAGTCCCAGTTTGTCCGTTAAACAGCACTTCTTCCCAGGCTTGGTGCAGGTATAATTGGGTGCTTAAATTGTGTGTGGGGTGGCACGTCCTAAAGACTAAAGTCTGGGAACAAACATCTTCTGTTTGCAATAAAGGATTATTCTACATAAAAGACTATAACATGATTGCCTGTAGTCTGCAAGATGTGCACTGCTGTGTATTTGTAGCTATTTTTAAGGAGGTGAATCTCTCTGCCCAGTAGTGGGTATATGTCATATACAGTACCTGCATATATACACACCTTTACACTTCTGCTCGCCCTCTAAATCCGAGAGTAAAGGAGTAAACACACATTATCTTAAGTCTCTTAGGTGCTTTCAGCAGTCAGCTGCTGTGTTGAAACATCCCTGTGATATATCACTTTATACACTGATAGTCATTTCTCAAAATTAATTCCTCCACTTGTTCTTTCCTTGTAGGTAATGCCTGGAGGTTATCCAAATGGCCATGGTGTCTACAGCTCAGCACAGGGTCAATACACAGCAAGTGGTTTCCACCCATCCAACCCTTTCTACTGTGCTGACCCTGTGAGACCAGGTCCAGGTCCTTATCCTAACCAGGGCTGTCCAGCAGAGCAGAGCAGTGGGCCATCTGGGCAGTCACACTCTCAGCACCAACATCATCACTATCCTGGTCCACACTGTCAAGGGGTGAGCTCACTTAAACACACGCCACAGTCAGAGGTTGGAATCTAGCATTACAACTGATTGACAGGAACACACTATACAAAGCGATGTTGAAAATAAAAAATACTTTGCTTGGTCTTTTTCTTCAAACCGAAATATCTTCACCCAACAGAAAATTATTATTTTTGGAAATACTTCATGTATTTGTCCTGCCTCTGCTCTCAGGGTCCTGGATATCATCCTGGACCATACCCTCACTACAGTGAAGGTGGCCATGCAGTGTCTCCAAACCCCCCATACCCCACGGGCCAGTCTCTCCATGTCAGCCCCCAGGCCGATGTAGGGGCACACTCTGGTCCGTATGTACACTCACAGCAACAATGGCAAACAGGCCAGCAGCCTCCACAAAACCATTATGGAAATCCTGTCCGTCCAGCACATCCTCCAGCCTGGCCAGGGACTGGTACCAGAGCTCCACCTCCTTACCAACCAAAGGTAAGAATCTGCAGCTTTTTCACTGTAGTTTCAATATAATCTTCAATCTTTTCAGGTGAAGCACACATACAGTATTGCAGCTTTATTAAATCAGATTTTGAGAATCATATCTCAAAAATGAAAACACCAAGTTTCAGGACAGTACAAGCATATACTATTTAACAATTTTTTTTAGTCAGGATAATGCAGAGATTACATTATGGATTATCATATACAGTATTTCAAAACAGAGTCTTCTATTTTTTGTCACTTTAGGACCAACAACACCAACATGTCCCTCAAGTGGGTCCTAAACCCAGGCCAGCCCCATCATTGAATCCCCCCAATGGAAAGCCTTCAGAAATAAGTTCACCTCCCCAAATGTACATCAAAACTGGGAGAGCTGAGCCTAAGCCTTCAGAAAGTGAGCCCCCACCCTCAGCACTGGGTCAGGCTCCAGCTCCAAGCCATCAGGCTGGACCTCAGCCCCTGAGCGATAATCCTGGTCTTGCTAAGGTCCAGCAGGTTATGTCCAGGATTCAGCTCTATCAAGAAGATGTTGATGAGTTTGTTGGCAAAAAGACAGACAAGAGCTACAGGTATTTGGAGGAACTGCTGACCAAAGAACTGCTGGAGCTGGACTCTGTGGAGACTCAGGGACAGGAGAATCTCCGGCAAGCACGAAAGGAGGCGGTGCAGAGGATTCAGGCCATTCTGGACCAGCTGGAGAAGAAAGCCTTCTGAACCAGATTGGTTTGGTGGGTCACTAAGTCTTGTTGTTGTTCTTTTCTTCCAGATCTTCAGTGGACATCTTGAGGGTCTATTCCTGTTCCTTGGAGCGTTATCTTCAAGTTTTTCCACCACCCTGATATAAAATGCCTGAAGCATAAGTGACATGGACCCAGAAACTAGATAGAGCAATTATTGGTACATGGAATCAACCTTTAAAGACAAATTATGCTGGTATAAGTGATACAGGGATATTAGAAGTGGAGACTGATGATTGTACATATCATACATGGCTTTCAGCTTCAGCAAGTGACTGGACAGGCTACACAGACAGACACTTTGGCTCACCATATCTTTCTTGTCACACCTGTGCCAGCATAATGCAGGGCAGAGTCACTGAATTTTCTGTGACACAGATCCAGATTATCATCACGCTGTCCCTCAAGATTGTGGGTTAGTTTTAATATGATCCTACATCTAACAACACATGCATATCTGCACATTATTACGTTTGTGGGATTATGATATTGTTCTCACCCCAGGTAGTCTGTACACTTAGTTGCACATACTTGCATCCCCATGTCTCTGCAGAAACAGGTGCAGTGCTTTCCTTTTCAGTTGTGCTTTTGGCCCTGCATGCACTGTAATGTCAGGTAAGCACTCAGTACAGCCATCTCTGAGCTGGTAACCTGACTTTGAGTAAGGCAAATTAGTGAAAACCCCCAAAGATCGCTGTCCTCATTACTCCATGTTTTGGATGAAACACTTGCTTCTATAAGTGCAGACCTAGAATCAGACCGTAATATGAATGCAATGTATGTCACTGTAGGAACTAATGTTACAGAAACCTAAGGAAATGTTTAAGAATGACCTCAAAAGCTGTTATACTATCCCCATTTAAGTGAAGGATGCACTTAAATGTTTTCACTAATGCTTTGAACTTCAGGAAAATGTTGTTTCTGTTTTCTGCAGTCCTAATATCCTTATGTCAAATTCAGATTTGTACTGCAATCAGTTTTCTTTTTTCTCCCCAGTCATTTTGTGCCATATTTCAGGAAATGGTTTTAGATAATTAGTAATGAAACTAAAATCACAAGTTCTGCATGGGAAAAAAAATCACCAGTCATGTGTTCGTTTTCTTATGTTAAGTTTCTGTTCAGATGGAGCACAACTGTACAGTTCCACATGTAATGCATGTTTCCAACACAAGATGGAAATCTGGGGGGGGGGGGGAAATAAAATAAATAAAGGTCCGTATATTTTTCAACCTCTTATCAAATGAATGCCATTTTATACTAAATACAGTTAAGAGAAATGTTATGTCTTTCGCCCTCTGTTGATGGTAGCCCAAAATAAATAAGCATTTTTTTTCTTAAACACCCATTATAAAAATCAAATGATAGGAAATTGGTTTGTTTGTGTGTTCCTTCCTTTCTTTCATCCATTGGAAACTGTATCTTGGGTTCACCCTCCCTGTATTTGCCAGCCAGCATTAAGGTTTTTAAATAGACAGCTATTTTGATGCAATAGCATAACACAGGCATCTGAAGGCTTGAGTCACACAAGCTAGATTTAATTTGGGGGTCAAATGGCCTGACAACATTTAGGACACCCAGTGGTGAGTAAATCTGAGACACAGATGCCTGATACTAAAATCACCCGTGTTACTCATTCTGTTCCCTTTGATACAGAGTCTGCAGAGAGCTTGCTTAAGGATAATTCTCTTACAGGTTTCTTCAAGGAGAAAAACTATATTTACTTTTTTTTTTTAACTACAAACTGCTCTAATGGACTAGTTTGGAAGAAACCAAATTACTGAGGGCTATTTTAACCCCAAAGATAACAGCAATGTCCTATAGAGCCAAACGTCTTTCCTCCTGGAGTGATAAACCAACTTCTAGGAAAGTGGAAATTGACCTGAGTTCTCCTGCTTTAGCAGTGTTTGATTTAGAAAGACTCTTGTTTACTGGCAAAGCCATACTCAGCAATGCAGATGAAGTTTGGCCAAAGCTTTACATTGGTGATATGTAAGTAGCTCTTTTTTTTTTTCTTTGGCTAAAAACCCACACACTGGCTAGGGTAAAAAGAGGGAAAAAAAAAAAAAAAAAAAAAAAAAAAAAAAAAACACGGCCTTGTAACTTTCCTGTAAATGGTACTTTACCTTTGTGCTGGTTCAAAAACTGAAATGAACCCTTTTCACAAACATTGCCCAAGTCTAGACTTGGCTCCATTTCAGGAATGGTCATAGATAAGATTTAAATGAGTAACTTAATGTCCCACAAGTTGTTTTCCATATAGGGAACTTGTGTAAACTACATCTACGCTACAGTGGGTACGGAAAGTATTCAGAGCCCCTTAAATTTTTCACTCTTTGTTATATTGCAGCCATATGCTAAAATCATTTAAGTTCATTTTTTTCCTCATTAATGTACACACAGCACCCCATATTGACAGAAAAACACAGAATTTTTGACATTTTTGCAGATTTATTAAAAAAGAA